AGAAATTGTGGCGAGTGGAAGTGTGCCAAGAAAATTTGAACATGTGTGAAAGTGACCCCCAATTTTTGAATAACGTAATCACAGGTGACGAGTCGTGGATCTTTGGGTATGATCCCGAGACAAACAGGCAATCTTCCGAGTGGCACACGACGGCGTCTCCTCGCCCAAAAAAGGGAAGAATGAGCAAATCCAAAGTGAAAACGATGCTCATTGTCTTTTCAAAGGCATCGTCCACTATGAATTTGTTCCTCCTGGACAAACCGTCAACGCCAAGTTTTACGAGACTCAAACGAAGGGTCACTCGGGTCCGACAAGACATCGCAGCCGACTGGAAGTTGCACCACGACAACGCTCCGGCTCACACCGCCTTCCTTGTGAACAGCTACCTGACCAAGGCCGGCATCCCAACGCTTCCGCAGCCGCCCTTCAGCCCAGATGTGGCCCCCGGACTTTTTTTTGTTTATTCGCCTGAAAAGACCGATGAAAGGCAAGCACTTTGAGACGACAGAGGGGATCCAAGCAGCATGCACCGCGGCTCTCAAGGCTATTCCGGAGAATGCCTTCCGTGACGAATTCAATGCTTGGAAATCGCGCTGGCAGCGCTGCATCGACGCAGGAGGAGCGTAGTTTGAAAGTTTTTAAAGAATTGTAACGATTGTTTTTTTTTAATCGACCCAGTCCTATTACTTTCCGGACAAACCCTGTATGAGTTTCGTTGTTTCTTTGCAGGAGTGTAGCTAAACAATTTGGTGAAGTTCCTTTTTTAATTTGAAATATAAATGCCATGGTCATTAAGTAAAGACGTCAGCTTAAGTACAACCACTGTAGATTATTTAACATGTCTTCTGGTCATGTGTACCTGTGGCATTGAAAAATTTGGTAATTTGGGTGCATTCCCCAATTTTGACGTTTTTGTAATGTGCTTACTTTATTCTCGCTAAAGAAATACAATAAAGATGAACAGTGCTGAAAATGGGGCGTTATTATCGTATCTTAAACCGTAACTTTTGCAAATATAGATAGACGTTTAGAAATTTTGGATAAAATAAAGTTTATTAGAAATCTTCCTAATAATGTCATCGCAGTTGCTGTTAAACTTTAAGTTTTTGTCCAACATAGATCCTATATATTTGGTGTTGTCAATTATATCAAGGAATGTACTTTCAAATTTGATTTGGATGTTAGGTTGTATTATATTCCTGTTTTTGTTTCAACTTGATATGATCATTACCTTTAATTTTGCATTCAGATTCAACTTGTTTATTTTTAGATACGCTTCAATACTTGCAAGATCACGGTTTACCATATCAACACCCTGATTCAGGTTTTTTCAAGATGTAAACACTAACCTGCCATCAGCAACTGGATAGGTAGTGGATACCAGGGATGTTGCGAAAGTTCAATTACGATTCCGAAAAATCAAAACATCCGATCGTTTTTAAGCTTCCGATTTCAATTCCAGTTCCGAAACTTTCCAATAACTCATTTGTCCGCCAATATTTGTCTTATCTACCAAGCTCAGTAGAGGGGTCAAGGAAGCGTATTACTTAGATCATACCGAGAACATGGGAATCAATCATAGGATAAATGATTGGAATGTAAACATTAACAATACAGCTTAAGAGCATATTGGAAGAAAATACATTTCACAATTAAAAGAACCCCATTTCTTTTGAATATCAGAGAAGGAGCTTAAAGACACTTTGTTAATCTTTGGTAGACCTCGGCCATCCTTCAGAACCGGATGAAAGTCAGAACGCCTCCTGTTCGTCAAGATACAGTCCTGGATTCATTAAACTGTTCAAGATTGTTGCGTTCCAAGCAGTGATAACCTCCAGGTCTCTCTCCAGAGAAGAAGTCGCTGATAGTCTCCTTTTTCCATCTCATCGGCAGATATCAGCTTGACACTATGAATTCCTGCATGTAGGATGTGGATGTGGGAGCCAAATTTGATCCCTGTGGATACCCGCGTTGACGCTGTTGGATGAAGAGGAGAACCCGTCAGGTACGACGGACATCTTGCGGTAAGAAGAAAGTCACAGGATGGAAGCCTGCTTAGAAGGGCAGCATGCCACAACTGATTAAATGCCTTCGTGATAGCAACGACATGAGCCTCACCATAAGCTGTTATGTTCGAGGTACTCCAGAAACTGATTTATGCACTTCTCTACCACCTTACTTATTACAGAAAGCAGAGCTATAGGTCTGTAGTTGTAAGGGGCGGTATTAGATCCTTTTTTGTGGACGGGTTAGACATGAGCAAATTTCCAGATTGCCGGTAAAAGTATCGGATTCGTAAGATACCGGGAAGAGACACATGGTACTTCCTGCATTCGGAATACCTTTGTTCTCGAACCTAGATGCTAATGTCAAAGAAAAAAGCCAAGAAAACCTTTCTGTGTGGGTTTGATTTATTAGTACCAGATAACTTAGTTTCTATATGGTAAAAATGATTATTTATCGTGGAATCTCCTTTTCTTTCCAGAATGTTGAACTTACCGAGAGCTAGTTTTCCAGAATCTGCAGGTAAAAATTCCATACCACTCAATTGTATCCTGCAACCTTTCAATAGCTGTAGCCTATGTACAGTAATGTGTCTTTGAAGTTGAGTCTTTCATTTAAACGGTATATAGATACTGGAAAAATATAGTTTTTTTTTTCTAGTAACATATACACCAAAGTCTTAGGATCATCGAGATTTTAGGTTCGGCAAAACCTAAACAAAGCTTAATCCGGACTTGAATCTCGGTTAGATCAGACGTGAACACATACGATGAAGGCGCTGGCCGCGTTTGCCAAAAAAATCTTTACACCTCGGTTCTAAAAAAATAGCACACTCTTACAGCAATATCAGGGTTGCCCATATTATTTTAATTCAGGGTGAGGATCTTCGAGACGCTACCGAGGCTTCGTGAGTGCATCCAGATCGTTCTTAAAGCTCCTCGATAATTTCTTTTCTTGCTTTGGACGAAATGAAATGATTAGTGTATAAAGCGCAGGTGAAGACGGTTGACGAACTACGTGTACGAATTTAGCAATTTCATGCATTTATGCGGAAAAGCTAGCCCAACTAGGAGCCTACACCGATTCTTGGCTATATTGAGCACATACATGTCTGTAAATCTATTGCAGACAACTTTGAACAATAGAAGTGACATTTCTTTTCGATGAACGGTGAGTACAATGTCATTTGTTTTTTTTACCTTTTTGTTGCTATTTCACCTGTTTGTAATTACAAACGTAGTTGTTTCTGAAAAGAAAATTCTCAACTTTCAGGACACCTTTCATAGATGATATGGTTTGGATTTCACAATTACAAAAATCTTGGAATCTTTGCTTTGAACGTTTCCAAAAATGTTACCCGCCGCTGTCCCAAGCCGAGCGATCCTCGGCGAACAGAAGCCAACAGCGAGGATTAATGGTGTGCGGTGTACCTTTTCCAACAACTGAATACGTCTCAGATATAAATCAGTAACAAATATCGTGTTCTATCATTTGTTGTGCGGATGTGTCATTTATATAACGCCCATTAAATACAGCCAGACTGTCATTATTAATTTGTAAAAACAGCTCCTGTCACTGGCCCATTTATTTTCATTATGCTACGGGAGAGGAGGACGTTTTCGTTCGGAGGATTTTATAACGACACTAGTTGTCGCATTAATTTTGTAATGTATGAATAAGCTTGTGTTTATATGCATGCGTGGATAAAACCGGGGATTTGGCTCGTGGTTTTGGAACAGATATTAAAACAAGTCACGATACGAGGGTGGAGTAGGAAGTAGTTGTCAAGCTCACTGCTGACTGCAGTCAAATTAGACTGTAAAACACCTGTTGTAGGTATATGAATCGAGTAAATTTGATCACATATTGCACACCTATTCTTTTATATACTTTGTTCATTGTATCTGCGTCGCATCCACACCTCTTTGAAAAACACAAGGTAACTATTCTTATACTGAAAAAACCAGACGGTTATACAGGGTGTTCCTTAATGATATGCGAATATTTAAGGGCGTGAATCTAATATTTTCAGAACCGCTTCAGATATTTCACTGATATTTAGTACGTAGTGAAAATTAATAAAGTTGCATATTTTTCAATACAAAAATAATTTTTAGCTTTAACAGTGGCGTGCTTACGGGTATTGACTTCGATATTTTTTAAGAAAAAAATGGTACGCCAATAGTTTTTTGCCAAATAAAAATTATTTTTGAATTCCCCGTTCAATTTAAAACAAACGATCTCTCTTGAATTGTTTGCCTTCGATGCTTCGTTTTTGAGTAAAGAAATAAAAAGCGTTCTATTGTCTAACTTGCAAAATTATTATTAATTTAATTGGAAAAATTAAACACATAAGGGGTAATGAACAACAACTGACAACATAAACGTAACACTAAAACCAACGAAATCATTACAAAAATTGTTTAAAACGGCCCCCTTCACTTATTATGCATGCTTCCGCCCTCCTTGTCACGGAATTGCGCAATCGTTGAAATATCCCTGGAGTATTTTTTATTCTATCGCAAGCTGCAAATATTCTTTCGCTTAGTTCCTCTGCAGTGTTAATGGCACTTGTGTACACTAGTGTCTTAAGACCGCTCCACCGAAATGCGCTGGTGAACCATCATGCGTGTACCACATATCGCTCATCCGGAAGAATAGTGTCATAAGTCAAAAAACTACAATGTTGGGAAAATGCCATTGAAAATTTTGATCATCACATTATTGCTGAGGCTCCCCAGCGGTAAATGTTACATCCATAGAATTAGAGATCTAGAATGTTATACTCAAACTCTTTCAATTGTCCCTACGAACACCTACCGATAAAAGATAGAATCCTTCCCAAAACTAAAAATTTAAACTAATTCGCAAATATGACATTATTCTTCCGAAATGTTTATAGTTTTTGGTGAGATATAAAATATGGAAAAAGATGAACTCCAAATCATATTTCATTATAATGCAACATATCAAACAGAAATGATCAATAAGCGTTATTATAGTGCTTCAAAAAACGCCAAGTAATTTTTTGGTATCGGCTTGTTCCTTCTTTTAAATAGTGCCAGTAGCCCAGTCTTCTTTTTATTTGTGACTCCGTCCTTCTGGCTGTAAGCGTATTTTAATTTTACATCTCTATTTTTATTTCTCCTGCTCAAAGTTGTTGTTTGAAATTCTTCTTGCTGGTAGCCCGTTTTATACAATATTGTGCTTGGAGCATCTTTTGTGATCTTAAGCACTTTCACTTCGGATATTTTCGTTGTATCTCCATTGGCATTTTTCTTAGGATGGCAGTTGAATTCAATATCAGATGCCAATTGCTTTAGATCTAAAATATCTTTATGGCACAATTCATCGACTTTATGAGGTTGACCTGACTTTTTGGCACGAAGCCTCTTAGGGTACATTTATTATTACATGGAGTCAATAAAATTTTGGCTGGAATAATCTTTTTTCCTTTTGATAAATAAGCCTGTCCAGTATTCCTTAACTTTTTAGCAGTATTCCTTATCCAGTTTTCCTTGTTAGATGTCCGCTTTTTGCCTTTTTTTCTGATTTGGAGGCGTTTAGCACCTTCCTTTTCTTAACCCCACTGCTTTCATCATGAAGCGTTGCAGGCTCGTTTATTAATGATGACGCTAAACTTGAAGTGGTGGATGTCTCTTCACTCACATCATAATCAGGATCGGCATTGCTATCATCAGTACTGAATGGATCTGACAGTGACTGATCATCTACAACTGTACAATCTTCAGTCAATCTGGGATTACGCTGGTTGCTTGTTACATTTATTTCGACTGGAAACTGGGTCACTGAAATTAAAAATATTCTAAATATTGCAAAATTACATTATTACCTATCGTAACGTTACCTTCCGATGGCTCTAATGTAATGTTTTATGGACATACTTCTAGCTGCGCCTCTATGTCTACGGCATTCGACAAAGTTTCTGGACCATCTTCGTTATGATTCTGAATCAATTCGGAATCTTGAATATCAAAAACATCGACTTCCTCCTCCCTAACTTCCCATCCATAATTCTGTCGTTCAGTTGCTTCTCTAGCTAATTTAAGGATAAGATGAGTACGGCTGTTGTCGTTGGACATCTAAAAATATAATGGAGAAATTATGAGGTGCACTAAGTATAGTCGTACATTGAAGATAACAGTCCGACTGTTTTGTGCAGGCTGGCAAGTGTCACAAAGCTGAATAATAAAAAAATGAAGTGACTGACTGTAGTAATATTTTCAAGAATAGTGACATAACACAAAGCATGACATAAAAATATATCCATCCTAAATTGCGAGTCCAAGAATAACGACACTTCTCAAAACGCAAATAATATGCTGGAATAATAATACAGAAAGTAACTTACCTTTCCCATGAATAAAGACCCAAACCTAAATGTGATGCTGCAACGTGAGCACAGCTAGCATACAAAGTGACACTTTTTGTGATGTTACGATTTACCGCACGCGCGTCGACGAATTCGCTTTCACAGTAAAGGCAGAACTGAAGATGAGACGTTATTCCTGTCGTAGATAGGCAAATTTGAATCTAACGAAATAGTGACACTAGCGCCATCTCGCGGATCCTATACAAGACAACTTTATGACATTTTTTCCGATAAAAATAGACTATATTTGATATCGGTTCTACGACTTAACTAAAAAATTGGAACTTTTTAGTTGTGTCACTGTTCTTCCGGACAAGCGATATTGTTTCTTATTACTAACGGAACATCATCAAGCAGCAAAGGCAAATGTTGTTAAAGAGAAGTGGGGTAAGTCTATCCGTCAAGTCGTCCCGGCAAGAAGAATGGACCAATAAAGTGGTTGCCAATAATTCCTGCCCATACGTTAACCGGAAATTGGTGCTAAGGATATAACAAAAAATCCACTAAAGTTCTCCAAACAATTTGATGGCAAATATTTAAGTGTCTAGCGATCTTGCTAGTACTCGTTTCAGGATGTTCTTCGGACAGAGCGTGTTTCAACAAGACGACGATGAATATTAGAAAAGGTTCGACTATCTGGCAAAGCACGATCGGGATATCTCTGGTGATAAATCCGTCTGGCTTGCTCACCAATACCGTCGGCAAGGCCATATACGTAATGCATTTCCGCCATTTCTGCATTTGAATAATTCATCATTATTAATAAGATTATAAAAACTAAATAATGAAAAAGATGTCACAGCGAACAGATTTGAATAACAGAGACTTGTCAGATGTCAAAAGCCAGTGACATATTCCAGAGCAACTAGATATTTATTGCTAAATTGCATTCGTCAATTATTACATTAATTTTCTGGGACAATAGAACGGTTTTTATTCTTTTACTCAAAAATGGCCCATCGAAGGAAAACAATTCAACAGAGATCATTTGTTTTATATCGAACGGGGAATTCAAAAATAGTTTTTATTTGGGAAAAAACCATTGGCGTACCATTTTGTTCTTAAAAATAAGTCAATACCCGTACGTATGCCACTGTTAGAGCTAAAAATTATTTTTGCATTGAAAAATATGCTACTTTAATAACTTTCACTACATACTAAATGTCAGTAACATATCTGAAGTGGTACTGAAAATATTAATTAATTTCCATTTTTTTCTTAAAACTTCAACACCCTGAGGAAACATTTTTGGACCAAGCAAACTGAAATTAACTTTTCATCTAGATCCATACCCTTAAATATTCGCATATCATTAAGGAACGCCCTGTATATTCACGATCCTTTATTTAAAATGCCGTTAAACATTACAACAGTGTTAACTTACTGCTGTGGAATATCACAAACATTGGAACACTTAAAACATTTTCATTTGTTAGCACTTGCCTTTATTTATACATGTAGTACAGTTTGTTTTAATTCGTTTCTACCACTTCTAATTCATACAAATTAATGTTTTATACCTAATAGTCTTGCCGCAGGTGTATTATGTTAAAAACCTAAAAAACGTCCAAAAAAACCTAAATATCAGACTAGGTAGTTTTTTGTGTGCGAATAGTTTATTCCACGTTTGCTCGCTATTATCGCTGCTTGAAGAATTCTTTCACGGCATTTTGTGACTGAAAATGAATGCTTGATGGAGGTTTTTCAAAGTTTACAATATAGAGGCTTGCGTTCATGTGAACTTTAATCTTCTTTGGTGACGGAGAATTTGCGTTTTCATTGCATCGATCACAGCTTACTGAATGGTTCAAAATAATGACATCAAGATTCGTCGCCAGTAATTATTGATGAAAGAAGGTCATTATCGTTTTACTTGTATACGTGATATGTTGCAAAGCCCATTCGCAAGCTTTTTTGGTCCTCTGACAAAAGGCGAGGAACCCATCGTGCACAATCTTTGCTATAACCCAATCTTTGTATGATTTTTTGATATTGATCTGATTGAAATTCGACGATTTTCTCTAAGCGTGCCTTCCACACATGACACATTCCTGTCTGTTGATGGAGTACTCAATGCACGTTGTCGCGGCTTATCATTCGTCTCCTCTCGTCACTTTAAAAATTTGGACACCATTCCTTGATAGTGGGATACGCAAAACATGCGTCCCCATAGACTGCTTACATTCGCGTATGAATTTGCAATGGCTGCAAACTTGCAACACACAAAAAGGGCGTCAAAGGAAGCAAAAAGTTTCATATAACATGGGGGTCGAAACACACAAGCTTCATTACGACAAACCCAGTTTCTTCTTACTCTAGGTACTCGAAGTTGTCCATTTATTATTTCAGCCGCATTAAATTTGTTTGTGCTTCAGTTGTTATCGAAGCAGACCCATAAACCATCTCTTTAAGTTCTCCCCAATACCAGAAATCCATCGGATTGAGGTCAGAAGATCTTTCTGGCAATTTTCAAGGATCAGAAGCATTTCGACCGATCCAGCGATTTGAATAGTGAATAATGAATGACGCCTCTAAAAATGTGTGGTGGCACCCCGTCATGAAGAAACCACAAATTCTGTCTCCCTTGTAATGGCATGTTGACTAAGGTCTCTAGAAAGCTAAGGTATCCTTCACCTGACAACTTTGGGGGTAATTCGAAAGGGCCAATTACCTGATCGTCAAGAATACCCGCCCAAATATTTATTTTAAAACGTTGTTGGAAATGACCTTCACGAATGGTAAGAGGATTTTCCTGGGCTCACTTGTGAGTATTATGGAAATTTAATATCCCGTCTCGCGTAAAAGTACATTCGTCCGTCGCTAGAATGTTCTTAACAAAAATCCGGATTTTCAATGTTTTTGTGGAAAAACCACTAACAGAATGTTAGTCTGCGATGATAGTCTTCTGGTAACAAGGCCTGCACTCGTTGTACATGGTAGAGATAAAGCAAACCTTCCCGTAGGATTCTATGGACTATGGTAAGCGATAGTCCTACGCGGCGGCCTAATTCCCGAGTGATGATATCTGCATTGATTTCTACGATATTTAAAATTTGTTCCTCCTGCTCTACAGTAACCTTTCACAAGTGCGAGTATTAGTGGGCTGAACACTTCCTGTATCTCGAAAACCTTGGTATCTCGTTCTGTCTGGGTGTACAAAAACAAAACAACATACTAACCACTGTTACTGTTTGCGATCGACTGGCGGTTCGATAAGAGTGATGAAAAACCGACGCGCTGTTGTCATGTGTGTATTAAATATTTAACTTAATGAAACTTACTTACCTACTGACTACAAATTTATTTGTTAATTACCCCATTTTTAAAACGTTTTAGATCAGATTATAAAAATTAGTAAGATTGTGGTGATTGTGGTCGATGTAAAGCACTTAAAGTTGTAAACTATAAAGCCATTTAGACAGAAATCTATTGACTTTTGGACCATGGGTCATATGAACTTTTTGACTTGTTTTGACCGCCTCTATTACTCATTTCAATAATGACTACCATAACGTTTACCCCCTGTATTTGGACTAATTGTTAACAAAAAACGCCGTTTTTAGGTCACAATACTTAAAATCGAAGTCAAATGCAAATGACAGAAAATTATCGGTAAGACGTTTACAACACAACTAACATTGCAAACTGTCATTTGAGTGATTAGAAGTGCTTCCAAGGACAACTTGATCAAAGATAGATAGATAGATTTTAAACGTGCTTTGTGTTGTAATTTCTGACGCTTTCGTTTTGTTCTACAAACTCACATGCACCTGAAGATGCCGTTTAGAGTTGCCGAAATGTCGTATTTTCAATAAATCTTTTAAGTTGACCGGATTCCAAAAATTTATAACTTGACTCTGAAGTCGTTGCATAATGCTTTTTCCTGAAGGTGTGTGTCGAATTTCATTTCATGATAACATGCAACATACGTACTTCAGCCGATGTTTTATTTCTCCCCACGGCATACAGACATACATCATAATAATTAATTGTCAATTCAAATGCTTATCAGGAACGTGTCGCAAGTACATTTCCTGCAAAACACTATAATCAGCTGGATTTATGGAACTGCAGTGCAAATCAATGTAACTACGCTAATGAAATCGTTCGTATAACTGTAGCCGTAAATAATTACGAACAAATTATTACTCTTGGTTACGTGTATCAACTCGCCTCACAGCACTGCTTAGAATAGTTCAGCGATGTGGCGTGGTTCAAGAACTGAATGTTGTTAAGACTCGACTCACTTTATCGAAATAAACTAGAATGTGAAGCAAGAGACCTAGATCGTTGGGCATTGACGTTAATATAGACCGCCAAGGAAACTCAAAATGTTTCCAAAATCTAGCAAAAATTCTATTCGGATCCAACATTGATACATACATATCGATACGTATTATTTAAGTAACGTAAGTCACCAAAAACGATTTCGGAGAAAAAACGTGTTTTTAATTTAACCTGGTTAAACTTTTTTAAATTGTGCAAAGTTTACCAGGGTGTTTCTATGAGGTCTATATTTAATTGAGAAAAATTATTTTTGAAGTTTTTCTATAGTTTTAGTGGTTAATTGATACTTACGTTACTTTACGGGTTCAAAAATCTCGAAGTCTTGATCAAAAATGTAACGTAAGTACACAGATACGTCAGTTTGGCTGCAAATTGTAGCACTTAAAGTATTTTGGAAAGAATTAAAAACTATCGTTTATTATTAAAAAAACACAAAATAACGTTACAAAAGAAAATATGAAATAATAACTAGTAAAAAATATATTTTTTTAAGTTTTGGAGCTTTCATCTTCATTATCATCCTCTGCATCAGTTTGTGCTAACTCATCTGGAAGAGAAGACTTACACTTTAATTTAAAGAATTCATCGTGAAACCTGGCAGGTATGACATTGTTTTTGCAAAGTTTTTCCAAATCCCTTTTCTTCATTTCGGATATTGGAAGCCGTTGTTTATAAATTTTTTCAGGTTCAGAAACTGCCCTTTCTTGCCGCTTTCGACCTTAAACAAAGAAATATACTAAGTGACATATAAATCCGAACACCCAGTTTAAATGGTTTTATTTCAATAAAAGTTGGTTATCAGTTGGACATT